CTCTCCTCCTCTCCCCCCCTTCCTCTTTCTCTAAGATCAATACAAACATATCCTCTGGTGAGGTTTTAAAAAAAGTAGTTTTACTGAGATGAAATGTACATACAGTAAAATATCCCATACAGTCTGCTGGGTTTTGGTAGATGTGTATGGTCATAGAACTACCAGCACAATGAAGATATAGAATATTTCTGTCCCTCCAAAAGGTTCCATCATGCGCTTCTGCAGTTATAAATCACCTCCCTTCCCCAACCACTGATCTGCTTTCTGTTGGCATAGTTTTCATTTTGTAGACGGTAATATAAATGAAATCATAAAGTATTTAGTCTCTTGTCTCTGCTTGTTTACTTAGCATAGTGCTTTTGAAGTGCAGCCATATTCTTGCTGAATGTGTCAGTAGTTCGTTCTTTTTCATCGCCGAGTAGTATTCCATTATATGGGTATATCCCATAGTTTGTTTATCCTTTTACCAGTTCTTGGACAGTTAGGTTGTTTCCAGCTTTTTGACACTATGAAAATAGTGGCTGAGAACATTGGTGTGCAGGTTTTTGTGTGGACATGGGCTTTTGTTTATTTTGGGTAAATACCAATGAGTTGAATTGCTGGGTCCTGTGGTAAGTTAATATTTAACTTTACGAGGAATGGCCAGTCTGTTTTATGAAGTGGCTGTACTGTTTTACATTCCTACCAGCAGTACATGAGAGTTCCAGTTGCTCCACATCCTCACTATGATTGCTATTATATATTTTTAATTTTACTGGTTCTATTTGGTATGTAGTATTATCTCATGGTGGTTTCAATTTATATTTCTCTGTTGATGAATGGTGTTGGCTATCTTTTCATGTGTTTATTTGATAATCATGTATCTTTTTTGGTAAATTGTTCAAATCTTTTGCTCATTTTTAAAAAAATTGAATCATCTGTTTTATTGAGTTACAGAGATTCTTCATATAGTCTGGGTACAAGACTTTTAACAAATGTGTTTGCAAATGTTTTTTCTCAGTCTTTGGTTGCCCTTCATTTTCTTAATAGTGTCTTTCCAGGAGCAAAAGTTTTTTGTTAAAGATTAAGCATTTTATTTTTATTTATATATTGATTTGACAGAGAAGGGGAGAGAAAGAGGGAAAGAGAGAGAGAAACACTGATTTGTTGTTTCACTTATTTATGCATTTGCTGGTTGATTCTTACATGTGCCCTGACCGGGGATCAACCTGCAACCTTGGTATACGGGGATGACGCTCTAACCAACTGAGCTACCCGGCCAGGGCTCAGGAGCAGAAGTTTTTAATAATACTTTTGGTTGATTAGGTGAAAAACTATATTTCAGTGTAGTTTTTTTGTTTCTTTTATTAATGAGTTTCAACATCTTCAATAGATTTAAAAGTAATTTTCATTTTCTAATTGTCTTCTGCCCATTTTCTATTTTAAGTCTCTTTTTTGGTCTTTTTCCTACAGATTTCTGGGAGCTCTTTAGAAAATAGGGAGATTAACTCTTTGTGATAATATTTTTGTATCTGTATTTGTACTTAACCTATCCCCTTTTCATTTTCATGTAAAGTGTATTAATCTTTGATGGCTTTGCAATGGTTATAAAAGGCCTTCACCACTATGAGGTCATGGAAAAGCTCACAGCATAGACATCATTTATGGAGTATTTACCTTTAATATACATTTACCCTTGGCTCTTGAGTCAGTGGCCAATTTTCTTGCACCTTTTTGCCCTGATCTTCTATCCATTCAGTAAATATTCAAATCTGAGAAATCACAGGGCCAGTGCTGGTAACAGTAGAAACTAAATACCTAAGGCAGTGGCTGTCCCTCTGTTTTCAGAGTCCATGTGATATGAGAGGTGTTTACAAGGCCACGTCCTGGTGCAGGTTACAGCTGGGAACACATCCAGGTCCTGCCACTAGCTAAGTGACCCTGAGCACCCGTTTCTCCGCCTGTCCAATGCTGACTGGACCTGGCTGCGTGAATTAAGTGAGGCAGGGCAGGTGCGGCCGACCAGTGCTCGTACCTCCTCGGACTGCAGTTTCCCGTCATTAGCCCTGCCTGCTCTGGCTCCCTGACTCAGAGCGACCCTGTCAGAAACACCTTCTTTTATTACACTCAGGGACTGTCCTAGTCAGCTCGAGCTGCCATAACAGAATGTCAGAAACCAGGTGGTTTGAACAATAGGAATTTATTTCTCCTCTCTCACTGAGATAGCCACCTTCTCACTGTGACCTCACCTGGCCTTTTCTCAGTGGGTGCCTGTGGAGAGAGATCACTTCCTCTGCTTATAAGGACCCTAATCCCATCACGAGGGCCCCATCCTCATGACCTCATCTAACCCTATTACCTCCCAAAGGCTTCATCTCCAAATGCCATCACATTGGGTGGTAGAGCTTCAGCACATGCATTTTGGGGGACAGAGTCCATAGCAACGACTGTCTTAAGCAGACTGATGACTGCATCTCTGTGACATTCTGCTCATGCTGACAGTAGATGTGGTGGTGGTGAAGAGAGGGGAGCCAGGTGGGCTCTGGTGGGGAAAGCACAGGGGACTTCCAGAATTTCGAAAGCTGGTTTTGGAGGAGGGACTTTGGCAGGTCTTTCCCAGCCCAGGTCTCCTGGGGACCCTTCAGGGTGTATTTGTTTCTGAGGTAGATCAGTGCAGCAATAGTGAGCTAAGCAAGCCTGTAGCTCTGGGTGCGCCCTCGAGACGGCACAACCCATTCCCTCAGACTTCGGGAAGGTGACCCTGGGAACAGAGTGTGGGTGCAGAAATAATCCACTGAGAGGGAAAACCTGGATTTTGCATATTGGCTTCTCCACATTCAAATGTAGCATTTACCCTGTGCTGGGCACTGTTTCAGCATTTCGAAACATCCCTATGAATGGTGTTTTATGTTCAAACAGAGAAGCTGTACCACTCTCAGTGGGACCCAACAGGAGGATGGGACCTTAAAGGGTGGTGGGGGCTGTGGAAGAGCCCCTGTCAGGCTGCCATCCGGGAATCTGGGCCTGAAGGCAGCAGGGCAGCCTGGAAGGAAGGAAAAGTGGTAGCGAGTGGAGCAGAGCAAGGGCAGCCTGGTTCCCTGAAGGTGGACTGGAGCCACCTCCTGCCATCGTCTCAACCTTGACATGCGTGGCTCAGGACACAAGCTGGTGGCTCAGAAGCTGGTGGAGGGAGCTGGGGCTGGCTGCTGCCCTCCCTCGAAGGGTCGCCAGTCGATTAGCGACATATGTATGTCCGCAGCAGCCCTGGTGCCCTGCACCTGAGCCCTGCATCTGCCCTCAGGGACGCGGGGCACCGCTTCACTTCTACCCCTGGAATCTCACACACGTCTCTGGGGGGCAAGGGGTGAACACAGACTTTATCCACCTCTGGAAATTCAAGGATGGGGGCTTTGCCAACTGAGTGATTGAATGGAGCCAGAAAGGTATGGGGTGAGCAAAGCCAAAATTGAGCCTCTGAATTTGGGGCCTCAGTGCTTAGTTGAATGCCTCGGTCTCCCAGCTTCAGTTTCCTGAGTCACATCACACCTGGGTCTGTGTCCATTCATGATTCTCTAGTAATGCCTGCATTGTTTCCTGTGGCTGCTGAGGCACGTGACAGGAGCCTAAGTTATTAATGGCCATTATAATCTTGATCACTTGGCTAAGATCACTTGCTGGGTTCTCCACTGTAAAGTTACTGTCTTTCCCTTTCCATGCCCTGTTTGTTAGATACCAGTCATGAGTCCGGCCCACACTCAAGGGAGGGGGAAATTAAGTTGTGGCTCCTAGAGGAAGGAGTTACCAAAGATTTGTGGGCATATGTTAAAACCAACCACCATCAATCAGGATTGTGGGGGAGATGCTTTGGCACCATGTGACTATCCCGTTTCCAGTGAGGTGATTTTTCTTAATGACTTTGTTCAGTTTTGAACTCAGGGAAACAGGCTGTCATCTCTCTTCCCAACTTTCTGTCACCAGGTTAGTGAATTTGAATAATAAAATGCTTAAGGAATCCAATTTCCTTGCGTATATCTGACGCTCTATCAGATTTCTGCTGGCAGTTGCATTTTAATATTGTAGAATCTGGAGGCTGTGTCTCCTGGGAGTGAGCAGGGAGCTTGAAGCCAGGAGGCTCATGGGCCCTAAGGTCATGAGACAGTGGCGCTCTCTTTTGCATGTGACTCACTCATTCGCTTGCAAAGGCAAGGTAACAACTTATAGGAAGTGCTAAGATAACGTCAATAACAGACTGTATTTTTAGATGCCCTTTTCTCACCTTGACGGCTATAGTTAAACTTCTTATTGCCTTGTGTGAATTTAAGGAGAAATATGGTTATAAGTAGCTCCATGATACTTGACCCTGTGGCTAATTCAGGTGGCTCCGTGATGAAGTATTCTTAGGCCAGTGGTGGACTTATATTCCCAAAATTCTTAATCAGCTGCTTTTTAACTTATTTATGAAAAACTCTACATAGAGGAAACTGATTTTAGTATTCTGACCAACTCTATTATTGATCAATGATTGCCAGTTATTTCACCATAATAGATAGTGCAAGGAGGAATCTCCTGTAGGGAAAGAAATACTTAACGGGTTCCTAGGGAAATGTCAGGATGATCTGTTTCTGATCAGCTTTTCCAGTTCCCAGTGACACAGGTAACTAAGATATGAAAACAAGCGACATACCCCCTCTGGTGGCAGCATACCCAACTGATTTTTTGTTCTGGAAACAAAGCTTATCTTTAAGGCAAGTGATCTGCAGATAATCTGCTCTGGCACGTGAACTGCTGAAATCTGGAACTTTCTCTTCCAGGATGATTTCCTGTTCAGTGTCTCCATTTTAAGTGGGATCCTTTGCAGCATCCTGGCCGTGCTGAAGTTTATGCTGGGGAAGGTCCTGACCAGCAGAGCGCTCATAACAGATGGTAAGTAGGGCCGGTGTGCCCAACCCCTGAGGCTGTGGGCACAGGGAGGGAAGGTGCTATGTGTGTCACCTTTAGTTGCTGGTCTTGCAGAAGAGGTCAACTACTGGGAATTGGATCACCCTAGCCTCGCCTCCTCTGGCTGTTGAATGGTTCTCAAGGTTCCCATATCGGGGCAGATGGCTTGTGCCCTGGGACTGTCTCAAACTCTTCATGAATCACCTCCACCCTGACCTCCTAATGGGGTGGATTGGAGCTCCCCAGCCTCTTAAACATGAAGCACAGAGGGCTTCCCCCAGAATCTGGGACTTTATGTGCATTGCCCCAAATCAAAAGTAAATGTCTATTCTGGAACCTATAAAAGTTTTCTTTGTGGATTTTCCATGCTCATTTCCCCTCCAGCTTGTGAGACACTCACCTGGGAGTTCAAGGGGAATGATCCATGTGTTTCTCTGCTGAAAACCCAGACCACGTGGAACGGTCCCTCTGTGCCCTTAGGGGTCAGGGGGCACTTCCTGTGTGGCCTTTGGGATGACAGGGAAGGGTGTATGAAAGCAGGAAAAAAGCATTTCAGTTCGCAAACCAGTGCTAGTGTATAAACAGGAAATGACAAACTGATCACCTGGGCATTTTCTTCATTTCTGAGTATGTGCGGGAGTCAGAAGTAGAGACATGAGCCCCTGTACCCTGGGGTGAGAGGTCAGAGGGTTAAAGCTTGTGGGTTGGTGTATGTATCTGCACAAAATAGAGCAGAAATCACTGGATTTCTTTTTTAAGAAAAGAGCCACTCACACATACCCTCTAGCCCCCAATTCCCAAGGTGATCTCTTCTGTGAAATACCTGAGTGCAGGTGGACGTCCATGGGTTCTGTTGTGAGGGGGCAAATGGCAGTGCAGAGGGCCCTTGTCTCCCAAGTGACAAAGCCTGGTGGCACTGGGGACTTCGACTCTTTGTCCCATGATGCTCCACTGTGTGTGGAGCTGGGCTTGTGCACAGTAGGGCAGGTAGGCAGGAAGTCAGAGTGGTATTTCCAGCTTTGCGACCACCGCTGCCCTGGGAGGAGCATGTGTGTGCATGTGTGTGGCTCCATATGTGCTTCTGTTGAACAGACCTGAAGAAGCTTAAGCTTACATGATCTGATGTGCTGGCTGCAGAACCAGGGACTCCGGACACTAGTCAGGTTACCACTTCCATTGGCAGCATCAGAATTGCTTGTGGTGGTTGGTAGGCACAGGTTCCTGGGTCTCACCCTGGAGGTTCTAGCTCTGGGGCTGTGAGGTGCGTCCAGTCCGTGCGATGCACACAGGTTTGCGTTACCTCCATGGCCAGCCCGGGGGCCAGGGCACATTCCACTCCAGGGGTGGTGGACCCGCAGTGTCCCACCTGCCATTTCGATCAGCAGGGCCTGCCGTCTGCTTCTGCCCTCGCAAGATGCCACCTTCTCCCTGTGCTAGGAGACCATGTGCCCATAGCAAACCAAAACTTTTGAAATAGTAAAAGCTGTTTAAAATAGTAAAAGGAGCAGCAGCTAGGAGCGAGGCCGCCTCTTCCCTGCTCTGCGCCCAGGCAGCGTGCAGGGTCTTCTGTGTAGCAGGTGGCCCAGCCGGCTCCTTGAGCGTCCAGATGGGCCCCGAGGTAGCCAGCCGTGTGCAGCCCAGGGCAAGTAGATTCGGCTCACAGCAGGTCCTGGGTGTGCTGCTGTAGAGCTGCAGTCACACCCACCCGTGGGGTTGCAGAGTTCTTCTGCAATATTTCCATTATACTCTCGAACCAGGGAGGGGTTCGTTACAAAGTAGATGGTTTAAGTGAAAATTGTTCCCCGAACAGGAAGGTAGAGAGCGCTCCCCAGGCAGAGGGCATGGTGGGCACCTGGGGGGCTGCATGAGGAGGGCACGCAGGGTGAGGGGCTGGGACGGGTGGGTAAGGGCGGCCCCTGCAGGATTTGCTAGGTAAACGGGTGAGGAGACGTGAGTGATGTTTTCCAAACAGCCTCTGGCGGTCAGGTGGGGAACAGCAGAGGGAGGGAGAGCTGAGCAGGCCGAGGTCTCTGGGAGCTGAGGGTGGGGCGGTGGAGGCCTGGGCAGGG